GTATATAATTAAGATTAATGTGGGGCTGCAGGTGTGGCTCAGTGGCAGAGCACTTGCCTCACATATGTGAGGCACTGGGTTTGCTCCTCAGCACCACATAACAATAAATAAACAAAGGTATTTTTAAAAAGATTAATGTTACTAGCTTAAAATAAACTGTTAAAATTATAAGACAGTTTATGCAATCTTCATGGTAACTACAATTTTAAAAATCTCTAGGAGATACAAAAAAAACCAAAGAGCAAAGAATCAAAGCATATTGCTACAAAAAAATCAATAAATTAGAAAAGAAGACAGCAAAGAATGCCTGAATGGAAAAACAAATCTAAATCCAACAACATGCTGCCTACAAGAGACTCACTTTATACTTAAAGATGCACATAGGCTGAAAGTGAAAGAATAGAAAAAGGTATCCGTGCAAATGATAGCCAAAAGAGAGCAAAAAATATATTCCAAGTAAAAATCTATCACAAGAGACAAATTATACAATGAGAAAAGGGTCAGTTCACATGAAAATATAACAATTTTAAATATATGCATATAACATTAGAGCATGTAAATTTACAAAGCAAATATTAATAGAAACAAAGGGAGAAATATCAATGTGATAATAGGAGGGAACTTCAATATCTCACTTTAATCAATGGATATACTTTTATAATACAATAACATGTTTGACTCAGTATATAGAACAAATGAACCTCACAGATACACATAGAACATTTCACCCAACAGCTGCAGAACACACATTCCTTCCAAGCACACATAGAACATTCTCCAGGACAGAGAGGCCACAAAACAAGTCTTAACAAATTTAAAAAGAGAATCCTGTCAAATAACTTTTCCAACCACAATGGTATGAAGCTAGAAATTAATCACAGGAGGAAAATAGAACAATTCACAACTTGTAGAAATTAAACACACTCCTGAACAACCAATGAATCACAGAAGAAATCAAATGGGAAATTTAAAATATCTCAAGAGAAAATGAAAATATGACATACCAAAACTTATATCATGCAGCAAAATAAGTTCTAAGAGGGAAGTCTGTAGCAAAAAAAAATGCTCATGTAACAAAAAATAAAGGTCTCATAAAACAACCTAATATTACTCTTTAACATTAGGTTGTTTTATGAGAAACATAAACTTCTTAGTTTAGAAGAATAAACTAAGCCCAAAGTTAGCAGAAGGAAAGGAATAATAAAGATTAGAAACTAGAAAGAATAAAAAAGATAAACAAAAGTAAGATTTGGGGTTTTTTAAAGATAAACATAATTGATAAACATTTAATTAGCTTAACCAAGAAAAACAAGAAAGAACTCAAATTTTAAAATATAAATGAGGAGATATTACAATGTATACCTCCTGCAAACCAAGGGTCATAAGATTACTCTGGACAATTGTATGCTAACAAATTGGATAACCAAGAGGAAAATGGATCAGTTCCTAGAATCATATAACCTACGAAGACTGAGACATAAACAGAAAAAAAATCTGAACAGATCAATAACAAGAATAGAGATTGATGCAATAATCAAAAACTTCCCAACAAAGACCAGTATCAGATGATTTAACAAGGGAATTCTACCAAACATTTAAAGAAGAGTTGGTGTCAATCCCTCTCAAATTTTTCCAAAAAATGGAGGAGGAGGGAATACTTTTAAGCCTACTTTACAAAGCCAGCTTTACCTTCATGCCACAGCTAGGTAAATATGGGGGGGGGGGAAGGAAAGGAGAAAGGGAGGAGAGAAAGGAGCGATCTTGAGTAAAAGCAAATCTTGGAGACTTACACTATCTGATTTTAAACTATATCACAAAGCTACAACAATCAAAATAGCCACAAAAACAGGGTACTAGCATAAAAAAGAGGTACATGTCACAATAGAACAGAAGAGAAAACCCAAGAGTCAATTCACACAAGCTTTATAAAAGTGCCAAGGACACACAGTGGGGAAATTCTCCCCAATAAATGGTGCTGGGGAAATGGTTCTGGACTATGTATAAGTTGGATCCTTATAATATACCATAAGCAAACATTAACCTGAAATGGATTAAAAATTTAAATGCAAGACTTGAAACTATAAAACTCCTAGTAAAAAGCACTCGAGGGAAAAACTCCTTGACATTGACCTTGATGATGATTTTTTGGACATGATCCCAAAAGCACAGGCAATAAAAGCAAAGTGAAATAGATGGTACTATTACTAAGAAATAAGCTTCTGCACAGCAATGGAAACAATCAATGAAATCAAAAGACTACCATAGAATGAGATAAAATATCTGCAAACTACATATCTGATAAAGAATTAATATCAGAACAAGGAACTTGTAGAGCTTTATAGCAAAAACAAAAACAAAAACAAAACAAAAAAACAAACAAAAAAAAACCCCACCAAATTATCCAATAAAATATGGGCAAAGGAACTAAATAACATTTAAAAAAAATCATACAAACAATCAACAGGCATATGAAGAGGTGTTCAACACCACTAATCATTAGGGAAATGCAAAGCAAAACAACAATGAGATCTCACCTCACCTATTAGGGTGGCTCTTATCAAAAAGACAAGAGATAACAAGGGTTGGTTAGAGCACAGAGAGAAGGGAACCCTTGGACAGTGTTGGTGGGAGTGTAAATTAGTAAAATCATTATGGAAAGCAGTATGGAGGGTCCTCAAAAAATTAAATATAGAACCACCATATAAGCTGATAATCCCACTGCTGGATATATATCCAAAGGAAATGAAATCAGCATCTCCAAAAGGAGATATTGGCACATCCATGTTCATTGAAGTTTTATTCACAATAACTAAGCACTGATGCAACCTAAGTATCCATCAGTGGACAAACAGGTAAAGAAAACATGGTATGTGTGCACAATGGAATACTACCAGCCTTTAAAGCAGGAAGTCCTGCCATCTGCAATATGAATGAACCTGGAGGTATTAGGCTAGGTAAAATAATCCAGATAGAGAAAGAAAAATGCTATGAGATTTCATTTATATGTGAAATTTTAAAAAGTCAAACTCACAGAAGCAGAGAGTAGATGGTAGTTGCGATGTCTGGGAGCAGGAAAGGATGATAGAGAGAGGTTGGTAAAGAGTGCAAACTTTCATTGTTAAGAAGAAAATGTTCTGAAGATCCAATGTACAGCATGGAGACTACAGTAAACAACACCATATCATATATTTGAAATTTGATAAGGCAGTAGATCTTAAGTGTTCTCACCAGACACATACAAAATTATAGCTATGTGAGGTGATGGATTTGTTAAGTAGTTGATTGTGGTAATCCTGTCACAATTGTGGTAATCCTGTTACCTAGCCTAATACCTCTGTATATCAGATCATCACATTTTACATCTTAAATATATGCAATATTTGTCATTATATCTCAGTAAAGCTGAGATGCAAAGATTGCAAAAGGCTATACAATGGATCCAATCCCAGCTACATCTCTTTCCTCAGGAGAGGAGGGATTAGAACATTAAATCAAGCATGAGCCCTTTAAGTGGTATTGCATTGCTGGTGCACAGGCCACAAGCCTGAGAAGCCAGCCTGCCATCCACTTCAACCTAAGAGCCCTCCACTTTACCTCCTATATGTCTCTTGAAGCCATTGACTCCCTCCATCATTTCTATGCCGCTACTGCAATCCAAGCTGCCAGCCACGCAACTCCTTGGAGGGCTGCAAATCTTTCAGTCCCTCTCAACTGAATCCACACAGCAGTTGGAGTTACCTTTTAAAACAGCACATGCAATGACATCAGCTTTTGATGGGGATAGTTTAATGTCCTTGCAATGTTCCTAGGGAAAAGGCCAAATGCTTTAAAATGGCCCATAGTACCTACATGGCCCCGCTCTGCAGATCAGGCCAGACTTTCTTCCTTTTTTTAAACACTACACTATAAGCTCTCAAAGCTTCATCCACTATCCCTCCAAACCCTGACCAAGTTACCTCCTGCTTGTGTCTCATATCTCAGAATATTTGCCTTCAGAACATCTTATAATACTACAGATGTCTTAGAATTTTCCAAAGGCACTATTTTACAGATGTTTGTGTGGGGTATAGATTTATAATGCCTGCCACTAAAGAGAATTCTGCCAGTTCACAATAGCATCTCTGTGCCTTGTATGTTGTACATATGCAATATTCATATGTTGAATGAGTTAACTAATAAACCAATACCTGCCACATACACGAAAATCCCAAGACTGACAATGTACCCAGCTGGTCATAAGGGGAAACAGAAATGCTACCTCAACTATAACAACAGGATGAAAATACCTTCTTTGAATGGATGCTGCACAGATTTAATGAGATTGTATATTTAAAGGACCTGGTATAAGAGTCATGGTCAGTAAATGTCCATTAAATGTTTGTGGAGGGATTCTGTGAATCCTGCAGCAGGGGAACACCAAGGGAGCCCTTCTTTCTTTCCCAACCCTGTCCCCAGGGATATGGAATTTTTAGAAGAAAGTTTTAGATTAATTTACGTCCATAGTCATATTAGAGATTTAATGCGTTCCCCCTTCCTAGAGACGTGCATTTATAGACAGTCTTCTGGGACTCATTTGAGTTGCAAAACACCCCTCCGTCAGGAATAATAATATATAGGTGTAGGAAGGAGGTGGTTTAAATCCAGTTGCAGCTACTTCCAAACCCTAGTCACATTCTTCCACACTAGAATTCCTTTGGGGGAGAATAGTTAATTTAAATCTACTATCTTTAGACCAAGTTAGATTTAGCCTGAATCTTAACTTTAATCTGTATTAACTATTAACTAATTGGGGAAGTAGGGTGGACACCCCCTCTACCATACACACAAAGCTGACCCAGGCTTCATTCAGTTTTCTTGCTCCTAAAAAACTTCTTGAAATTCAGAATTAATGAAAAAGATGAAGTGACCTCTCTGGTCAATTTAAGCAGGAAAGTTGATACTCCCTGCCAGGGTCAGAAATTAGTATGAAGACTGCTGCTCATTTTCCCATCCAGCCTTACCTTTGGCTTGACCTCCCAGGCTGGGTTTGCAGAGCCAGGGTTCTGTCTGGCCTGGAGGTAGCTGTGCATTGTGTAGTCCCTATCAACAGCTGCCCAGTGTGTCCAAAGAGGAGATGGCCATCCCTTGAATCCAAATGAAGCTCCAGGCAGGGGAGAACTGATCCTCAGTTGCAAAGCCAGGTTCCTTTGAGCCTGCATAATTCAGTCTGCAGGAAGCCAAATATCTTATTAAAAAAATCCAAATCATAACATCCTCCTGTATTTGTCCTGCTTTTGTTCCTCCTCAGAGCACATTCTGGCCTATTAGCTTGTTAGAGCTTCAAAAACAACCCCATGAGGTCTATAGGCAGGAATTGTCATCCCCATTCATAAAAAGAAGAACTGAGATTCTGGAAATAATTCTCATTTATGGCAGCATGACAAGCATTGTTGGGTGTTTACTGTGTGCTGAGAGCTTTGTGTGAACTATCTCAATTAAATTCTGGGAAGCAAATTATCTTGTTCTCTTTTTTCTATAGGCCAGGAGTCAGAGGCTGGGGAAAGCTAAATTCCTTGTTGCAGGTACAGAAAATGCCAGAGCCTGGATTTTCAAAGATTGCAAAAGGCCATGCAATGGACTACTATGTTGGAGATCACCCAGAAAAAGCCCATCTTGGAGGTTCCCTTTCCAAGGCCACATTAGCATGTATTATTTATTTCTAGGACTCCTTTCTCAGATCTCCACCACACCACTGACCCTTAAATCTATGAACTCATAGCTCTCAGGGAAATTGGGTCCAAAGCATGATTCCCATATCCACCTTCCCTGGGAAATTAGCATACATTACCATTCCACAAAATTCTAGGTACCCAGAGTTGTTCACTACAACACAACTCTAGCTTTGGGAAATTTATACCCTAGTGGGACCCCCTCCCCCAGATATGAAAACTCTCAAAAGACATTTATGCAACAGGTGTCAACAGCATAAGACATCTCCAATTATGGGCCAGGCACCATTTTAGAACCCTGGGATTCCGTCAACAGTAAGGCAGATAAAGTTCCTGCTCTAGTGGGGCTTACATTTTAGCAGAAGAGGCAGATATATTTAAAAAAAAAATAGGGCATAGTGGCAATCCCAGTGGCTCAGGAGGCTGTGGCAGGAGTATTGCAAATTCAAAGCCAGTTTTGGCAACAGCAAGGCGCTAAGCAACTCAGTGAGACCCTGTCTCTAAATAAAATACAAAATAGGGCTAGGAATGTTGCCCAGTAGTCAAGTGCCCCTGAGTTCAATCCCTGGTGAAAAAAAAAAAAGTACATAGAATATTAATGTAACAGCAGGAGATGTTAAGTACTCTAAAGAGAAAAAATCCAGGAAGGATATGGAGGGAGACTTAGGATGCACTTTTAGATGGTCAGGGGAGGTTGCTGATCAGCTAATGTGGAGATTTTCCTGGATTATCTGGGTGGGAAGGCTGTATGCACACACACTCATCCTTATAATTGAAGGACAGATATGAAGAGAGTCAGTGTCACATACACACAGAGATGTAAAGATGCTACACTACTGGCTTCAAAGGCTGAGGAAGGGCCACAAGCCAAGAAATGTAAGGGACCTTGAAGATCAGAGCAAACAGATTCTCTGCATGGGTCTCCAGGAGGAAGTAGCACAGTAGAAGCTTTGAATTTATCTTAGTAGGGCACAGTGCCAAATTCTGACCTCCAAACCTCCATTTCTTCACCTGTAAAATGAAGTTGTTATAATTAAATGAGATGAGACACAGAAAACTTAGCTCTTCATAGACATTGATCTATAGAAGCTATTACTATCATTTCTAAAGTATAGAAAACAAAGGACCTTCATAAACTTCTAATGAGGATCAGACCAACAAGAGCAGAGGCTAGCACATAAAATACATTCCAATTGTTCATTACTTACATTCTGTCAGCTAGAAATTCTAAAAGGATTTGAGAAGATTTATAGTTTAAAAAAACAATTATATTAACACTATTTTTAAAAAGGGTGAAAGAATAAGAGAAAGAACTCATCTCTTTGACTTAGTTCTTAAACTGATAAAGCCACTTAAAGGATTTTAATCATTTTGCTCAATACATAAAGTGCTTTGATATTTCTGATGATGCTGACCACATTTCCCAGAGACCATTTTTATCCTGCTGCTGTTTGGTGTATTTGAAGAGAGGAGATTGAATAGTGATAAGAAAGAAGCTTCTAGAATAATTCATTTTAGATACTGTTTCATGAGGATTGCATGTGTTCAATTTTCCCATCAGAATTAAGTCTCCAAGAGTAAATGTAGCATATGCCCATAATCCCAGCAGCTCAGGAGGCTAAGGCAGGAGGATTGCGAGTTCAAAGCCAGCATCAGCAACTTAGTGAGGCCCTAAACAACTTAGTGAAACCCTATCTGTAAATAAAATATAAAAAAAGAGAGGGGATGTAGGTAGCTTAATGGTTAGTGCCCCTGGGTTCAATCCCTGGTACAATAATAAAAAAAAATCTCAAGCAAGTTCTTAACCTCTGTGTATTTCAATTTCCTTCATCTATAAAATGGAAATCATAATGCTCTTCTTTTGAGGACTCAGTTGACATACGTAATACACATTTAGATCAGGGACTGGCATAGTTAGAGCTGTAAAAGTCTTTGATATCATCACTATTATTATTTAATAAAATTCACTTGTTATTGTCCTGAAGAATTAATCTCACAAAGTCATTTTGAGACTTGATCTTTTTTAAATACATTTTTTAGTTGTAGATGGAGAAAATACCTTTATTTTATTTATTTATGTGGTACTGAGGTTTGAGCCCAGTGACCTACACATGCTAGGGAAGCACTTCACCACTGAGCCACAGCCCCAACCCCTTGAGACTTAATCTTATTGCTCAGAAATATCAAGGTCTAAATGTCCATAGGAAATCAATGCTGTGCTTCCTCCTCCAGAGGCAGAGTCTATGGTCCCTCTTGTGATTGCTCCTCCCTTATTTGAAGATCACAGGTAATCAAGGAGAAAGCCAAGTTCTGCAACTTACTAAGACCCAGGATGGGCATTTTATTGCCCACCCCCTTGAATACTCCACTTGGCTGTGTATAAGGTACTTCTAGAGCTGTTGCTATTTGATTAATAGAGGATAAAGTTAGATCGGTAACTCTCAAACAAGGGGAGACCTTATAAATAACATTGTAAAGTGCTTTCTTTTATAGCTAAAGAAATTGAGGCTCAAAGAAGATGAGCAACTTGACCAAGGTCATGTTGTTAGTGGCAGTAACTTCTCTTGATCCCAGTACCAGTGGACCTAGCCATTATGCCTTTACAGACCCTGCAAAAGGGTCCATCCTCATTTTCCTCCAGCCACACACAGGACAGAATTTGTAGACTCTTCTCTACAAACCACATCATGCTGTTCTGCCCACACTCCAGAGTGTCAAGGATCCTCAGAAATCATAGTGTCCAGATGAGTACATTACTATTGATAATGTCTGACCAGTCCAGAGACTGGTATGACAGAGCTCTCCTTCATCCTAAATGCCATGCTTCCATTAATTGTGGCTGTAGAACAAACTGGCTTCCTTGGAAGTTCCCACTGTGTTGACTCACTTCTCGCTAAACATTGACTAAAACCCTCAAACCTTCTGCAGATTCTGTTGCTAAGCAATACCTCCCTCAACTCCACATTTTAACATTCCCAGCGCCAGGCATCTAGCTCAGAGGCTCACCCTGAGAGGCTCAGATATCTCTCTAGTGGTATGTGGCTGCCATGATTTCTGAGAGGAAGGGAATTGGGCATGGTAACCTAAGAAGAGGAATTCACATGGCAACCATCTGTAGGCACTTATCAGGCAGGGCTACTGCCAAATTCAGGGATGACCTGGCACTCTCCTGGGTGGATAGAAACTAGACTTGGTGCCTGTGAAATTGCTACCTTGATTCTTTTCCCAGTTTTCCCCAGAACCTTAAAACAGTCTAGTTCTGTTCCCCACTTGTCTACACCTTAGAGATCCACATGGGAAAACTGCCTACACTTGGCAGCAAAGAGGAAAACGCAAGTTGAAGAATGACATGGAGAATATGATGTATCTTCTTGTTTGTTTTGTAAGTGTAGAAAATATTTTTTAAATTCATATGATCATAAAAGAGATCAAGTTGGTAATCGTGGTTGGTGTTCTCTAAGCACAAGATTGGTAAGTGGTGCTTTGTTCAGCTTTTTCAATGAACAACACAGAGGAGGGAAACTATTTGGGGCTCATGGGTTCAGAGTTCTCAGTCCACAGATGGCCAACTTCATTGTTTGGGGCCTGAATGAGGCAGAACATCATGGAGGAAAGGCATGGTGAAGAAAAACAATTCAGGTGTGGTGACCAGGAAGGAGGGAGGGAGGGAGGGAGAGGGAGAGAGAGAGAGAGAGCGCTTTGCTCGCCAGAGACAAAATAAAAACCCCAAAGACACTCTCCCAGTGACTTTTTCCTCCAATCACACTCTACTTGCCTACAGTTAATACCCAGATCAATCTACCAATTAGGTTCCATCCCTCAATCCAGTCATTTCACCTCTAAAAATTCTTGGATTGTCTCACACATGAATTTTGGTGGGATACTTCATATCCAAACTATAACTGGTGTGGAACTACAATGTTTTGCCTTATACATCTTAGCACCTAATGCAATGCCAAATGTGGGCAAATATGTTAGATGAATGAATGGGAGAGAAAGGAAGGAAGGAAAACTTTGCCTTCTATTCAGCAAAGCATGAATTCCAGCCCTAACTAAAACGTCTAGATCCACACCTAAAATTCCATAATTGGCTCTTCTGGCTCTTTCTTACCATTGGACTTCCCTTGCTCTGCTCCTTGTCTTCATGCTCAGAGAGATAGCAGAACAAATGGAACCATGGCTCTGACACTTATAGCTGTGGCGCCAAGTTTCCCTGGCTTCTCTGATCCTCTGAGCACTGCACCATTGTGGTGGTTGGATGAGACAATGAATTCCAAGTGCTCAGACATGATGCTGGGAATGTGGAAAGAACTCCATTTGTGTTAGCTTCAATAGCTCCTCATTCAGTTGCTTACTCCCGCTCCTGTCTCTGATATTGCCTCTTGTCACCTCTCCCAGCAAGGCCTCACACTCAGGAAACTGATAACTCAGGAATAACATCCCTTCTTCTGTACCTTTCATCTTCAACAATGACCAAGGCCACCTGTCCCACAACTGGTAAGACCAATTCATTCACACGGAGATGCTACTGATTTAATGTCAATGTATAAATTCAAATGAGCAAGACCTATAGGTGAAGAAACAGGTTTGGGGTCAATATGGGGAAAGGAAGCAACTTCCTAATGTGGGTATCTAAGCTTCTGTATAAGACTGCCCTGTTGGAGAATCCCAGGGAGCCTGGCCACAGAGTGCTCCAGGAAAGCCATGATGGCCTGAGAAGAACTCCAGAGCAGAGCAATCTGCATCCTGTGCCTCCCTCGAAGAGAAGCCTCCTCCATGACTCTGCTGGATTTTCTCTCTATAGCTCCTCCAAGCCTTGCATAGGCCCAGGCCCACCAAAAGGGCTCCTTCACCAGAGGACCCTGTGTGAATATACCTATAGAGAGCAATAGCAGCAGCCGCAGCAGCTTTGGACTGCAATGCAGACTGCAACAATTGTCCTGCATTTTGGCTCTACCACTCTCCAGCTATAGGACCCCAGGAAGCTATGTGACTCTTTTGTCAGCTTCTCCCTGGGCCATGAAAGTTTAACTCTAAGGGCTGTTAAGAGGAGCTGGAAAGACAATGGGTGGGAAATTGGCCAGCTCAGGGACTGATGGATAGAAAGAGAGAGTTTTCATAAATGCATGGGGGGATAACAAGCCCTAAAACATTCCCTGAACAAAGACCATTTTCTAGGTGTCTTCCTTCTTCCCAAGCTGTTTCTGAGGCTTCATTTTCAGGACTAACCACTCCTTCCAGTTCTGATGTGGATTAATAATACTGAGACCAGAGGCAAAGAGATATGAAAGGGTGCCTGCAGCCAAAGCCACAATGCCCGGACTCAGGAGGCAAAGGAAGAC